CATCAGCTCACACTGGATTCACCTTCTGATCGACGCACCACGTCGAACATTTTGGAGAACTTCAACACACACTTTGCTGTGGTGAATTAGGAAAATAAAAAAAACAGGAGAACTGTAGATTTCAGTCTCTTCATAAAGTCATAAAGGTCTCCAAACTTAAGTGCTGCACTGAGGCTCATTTTCTCCACTCATGTGTGCGTAAAAAGAAACTAATTTCTCTGACCACGTTCTTGGTGGAAGCTGTTCCGATGAGCCACATTTTCCTCACAGAGGCTCTATCAGTTTTCTATTCAGCCTCAGACATTTGCTTTCACACCGGTCCGGGCTGGTGTGAATTAGGAATCATCAGGCGCGCCTGATATGGTCCCCATCATCACCGCTCCACACCTCCAAACAGCACACATCACCTGGACGTGTTGGAAGCTTGGCTGATTGGGAATACGATGTTGTTCTGCCAAAAACTTCTCATCACACACTTGCACTGTCCAGTAGATTTATTATTATGGATTATTCTGACTGTTTCTGATTTTTAAACACACCTTTCCAAACGCACTGATCTTTATTGCAGGATTTTTAAAAACAGTCTGATTTAAAACGTGCATGCAAAAGGCAGTGGAGCGAGTTCACGCCTCAGCCGCTGTCAACTGACATCCATGTGAACCATTAATTTTCTTGATCAGAAACAGGTAAGGGCTTAATTTTCCAAATTGCCCACCGGAGCTGCTGAAGCGCCCTCTGGGTTCCGCCTCCAACATGCGTTGCCACTGGTAACGCGGCGGAGAAGGGGCGGGAGCTGAGCGAGAGGAGCCAATGGGAGGACGGGAAGGCGTTGAGCGACGTCCGGGCTGCGTCCAATCAGCGCGTTTGACCCGCCCGTGTCGCATGCCCAGCCTGCTGCCTATATAAAGCACACTGACAGCTAGGTAATCCAGTCTGATCGCCGATCGTCTGGCAAAAACAGGACTTAAAAGAAGCGAGATATCGACACAAGCTGAGAAAAAAAACAACCCTCTCGTCGCTTTAAACTTAACACTGACAAAAACAACAACAATGAAAGCAATAAGCCCCGTGCGATCCTTCCGGAAAAGCAACGCGAATTTATCAGAGCACTCCTTGGGAATCTCTCGGAGCAAGACCCCGGTGGATGACCCGCTCAGCCTGCTGTACAACATGAACGACTGCTACTCCAAGCTGAAGGAGCTGGTGCCCAGCATCCCCCAGAACAAGAACGTCAGCAAGATGGAAATCCTGCAGCATGTCATCGACTACATCCTGGACCTGCAGATCGCGCTGGACTCCAGTGTCGCACTAACCAGCCTGCATCACCCTTCGCGGCCGGGGCAGACTCCATCCAGGACCCCTCTGACCACCCTCAACACAGATATCAGCATCCTGTCATTACAGGTAATTACACCGTAGCTGAGCACGCATCTCGAGCCGGAGAACCACAGTCTGGTGTGTTTGTGAAACATGTTTAGTGGCTTTTCTTTTTTTCTTTTTTTTTTTTTTATTTGTGCGCATAAGCGGTGCGCCTTTCTGTAGCCGATGCGTAACTCGCACAAAATGGCTTGTAGGAAAAGGAAAATGGCATGTTTTTTTTTTCTTTCTTCCTTTTGTTCACAATCAGATGAGGAAGAGATTCGACCTACATAAGACTGTTGCAAACTGCCAGACACCTCGATCGGATGCTGCGTAAAAAAACAAAAAAACAAGAATTAACATTTGGTCTGTTTGTTTGTTTGTTTTCAGTCCCCGGAGTTGCCATCAGAGCTGATGACAGATGACAGCCGGACTCTGCATCGTTAAAGCGGTAAGTAGGCTGTCCTCATGTCTGCTGCTGCATTCTGTCCAGGGCTTTTAGGCTCCGCTACAGCCTGTCTCCCAGTCTGCTGGAGCAGAATGGGCTAGAATTACCATTTACCAATCCATTTGTTCCCTCGCTAATGTCGTCTCAACGTTGCTGTAATGGTCCCAATATGTTTTGTGTGTGTGTGCGTGTGTGTGTGTGTGTGTGCATGAGAATGCGCTGCGACACTGGGGCGTCAGTTATGACAAGGGGACGGACCAGTTGGCTTCAAGTCAATTTCTGGATCGTATTTATGTCAAACTAAAAAAAAAATTAAAAAATGTGCGTTAGGAAAAGGTGACCCAGATTAATCTCCTCCTGTGTCCAAAGATATTCAGCCGCCAGATATTTAGATCTACGTGTTTTTGCGTTGGAGTTTAGTGCAATAACAGTGAAGATATTCGCTCCAGGCTGCCTTTTTGGTTTACTGTATATAAGTAGCAGTCGTCAGGGTTGTATTAGACCCTCTTGTGTCTATAATGAAGAGCATCTGCAACAGGAAAATAATGGCTGTTTGGATTACTGGTACTACGATGTCTGCACATAATTGGTACAAGAAGTGGGTAGGCGCCAGCTGAGCGGCAATTACGCTGATTCTTCCCCAGATTGTAGGCTGAAGTTGTGCGAAAAGTGTGTGTGTGTGTGTGTGTGTGTGTGTGAGCCTCCTCCTCCTCCTCCTCACCCTCACCCCCCTCCCTCCCTATCCTCCCTCCTTTCCCTCTCTATGTGTGTGTACATCTGGAGCGCAGCGTTTGCTTAGTATTGGGAGTGTTTGGTTAAATGTTAAAAACTGCGGCTTCCTCCCTGGCGCCAGTCTGTCCGGATCTCTGCCCTGTTTGCATTTTCTAAACACGCCTCTCTTTCTCAATCTTTTGCAGGTGTTTGGTCAAGACGCAAAAAAACACGAGTCACTCACACACACATTACAGGACCTGGGGAGCAGGACTTCCCCCCCCTTCTCTCTCTGTCTCCAGCCCCTCCAAGCCTCTGTCCTCCAGGCCTGGATTTTTTTTCTTTTTCTTTTTTTTTTGACTTTTCATGACGCTGAAATCAAGAGACTTTTTTTTTTTTTGCTTATTATGGGACAATCTTATGTGATGTGTTTTCTGTTTGGACACTTCATTATTTAACTTAAGACTCTTTTTTTATTTTTATTTGTGGGTCCTTTCTGGAAAATGGAAGGCGCGTTATATTCCCGACAGCGGGAGGAAAAACGAGATTATTGTCACAAGGATTATTCCCTCCCTCCCTCCCCCATCTCCTCTCCTCTCCTCACCCACCCCTCCTCACCCCTTGTCTCTCTCTCTCCTCGTTGAAGTCTTCGCTTTTTTGCGGAGGTGGGAACGTGAATAGAACAGACAACTTTTGGTTAGTTACTGTAAAAAGTTTAGTCTTGTCTTGTCAGAATTGTTGGCACATGAAGGACTGGACGTTGTTTAAAGAGGAAGAAAAAAAAAGTTAAAATGAAAGAATGAAAAACCTTGTGAACTCTCAGTCGGGAGTTTATCTTGTATAGTTGCAGGAATTTGACACTTCTGCAAAAGTGTAATGTTGTACTTAATTATGCTGAAACTTTTTATAAAAGTAATGTAAATTGTACCTTTTTATACAAAATAAATCAAAAACGCAAGTTGAACATGTTTCATTTGGGGGAGAAGCACCACAGCTTTGGGGATGGTGGAGGTGGTGGTGTTCTGGGGATGTGTGAATACATTAAACCGGTGCGTAAAATCAGTGACCCAGCTGTGCGTCCAGCTGACTCTCTCATGATGGGGGTATGACCCGCGCTGAATGTATAGAGAACATGTGAGGCACTTCACCACAAATCCCACAACAAAGTGTCCTTATCAGACCTGCAGTATGTGACCTATAATAGTCCAAAACACAGCGTCAACATTCCCCCCTCAAGGCAAACACGACCTGGAGGCGCGCGGTTGCATAAAAGCGTATTTAGGGCGCACTGACTGACTGCACTTTTACTTTCTCACATGCTATGTAAAGTAAATAGGATTAAATGGTTTAAAGTGGCAGTCTGAGCCATTTACGCACTGTGCAGAGACTGCGTGGCTCCAGAAGGTTGACAGCTCTGGAGGTGAAACAGGGTTTGCGATGCGTTACTGATTCCATAATGTTCAACCTTATTCCTTATTGGAGGAATTGTTTTTGTATACATTTTTTTAAAAACCGAATTTGAAGTGAAAAGGCCTGTGCTGCTTTTTAGTTATTGTTAAAGTTGGCCGGTTGCAGGTAAAATTGGACAGCGCTGGTGCGTAAAGTTTGGCTTTATCAGCCGCGTGAAATTACCTGTGAAAAATGAGCAGATAATATAAAAGTGAACCAAAAAGATGGAGGGGATGTACTTACTGGTCCAGGTGCTGAAACACCTGAGGGAGTTCATGATCACCAAACAGCCCAGGTAAAGTCTTGAAGTCCACCTGGTCCGTCCTGTATTGTAGAGGAGGCATCAAAGAGCTAAACTGACTGGGGTAAAAAGGGCAGAGGGTGGTTAATACGAGCCGCCGGGTGTCATAATTGGCACCACGTAGTGAAAACCCATCTCCTCCTTTACAGTGCAGCATGGCTTCTCAAATGTTTTCATACCACTGACTAATGTGTGGAGCCACATTGGATGATTTTACCCCAAGGAGCACTTTGTTGGATGTTTCTTGATCAAGTGTGGAAGCTGTGAGGGAGGAAAAAACACTTCTTACACGACACATGAAAAGCTAGATTAAAAAAAAAAAAACCACACAGTACAATATCACACATGATTTTCAGTTAAATGCAAAAAATATCTTTAAAAAAAAAAACCCTCAAAAGATTTCTTCGCAGGTCCCCGAACCCCACTTTGGGGCTGAAGCTGTTAGTCCTCAGCAGTTTATCACAGTGACAGGCAGCGTCCATGCAACGAGCCCTCAGCACGTTTGTATGGAGAGTGCGCCATCTATCGGATAACAAAGATGCTGCCAGGGACGACCTCCCTTTGCCTGTCAACCTTTCCCCCCTCTCTTAAATAAAAAAATAAAAATATGAAACAGATAAAATAAAATAAAATGTGCAGGGTTCTTGTTTTTTTTTCCAGCAGACGATTAGTAGTTTACTAAAACTGCACAAACACAAACAGATTTTCCTGCAAGAAAATGCATCAGACTGATTTCAAGGGTCCAGCACAGCCAAACATTTATTGATCAACACTTTCACCAAATACTTTGGAAAAGACAAACACCGCTTTGGAGTCTAGTTCATGCAACTTGTTCTACCGGGGAAGCTACCGACACCGTCTACGCAGATCTGTTTCACTACACACAGCACAACACGCTTCGGAGACACAAGGCTTCAGTAACAAGAGCTTTCCGTCGTCACTAACTTTCCTCAAGTAACACGTTAATATGTAAGCATTCCTGCACAACACGCACAAACGTCACGCCACTGCACCACGTTCATTTAGGAAATAAGTTACACGTCCAATCCAAACATGAGAGGTTCAAACTCTTCGTAACATAAGAGGAACTAATCCTAAATGTTTTCGGTAACATTAAAAGTGTAACATGTGACCTTTATATAGAGGTGATTATTATTATTATTATGTTTTTGACCTACCAACTATTTAAATCTTTTCGATGCACTAACCTTTTCAGAACACAGATATCTACTCTAATTCTTTGGGACAACATCAGCAGTACAACCGAGCCACCGACAACATCAACAACAACAGCCTACACGACCCTTCTTGGAACAACAAACACATATGGCTTCTCAGAGGACGCTCTCCCGCTCGTCTCCCAGGCTGATGGTGCGCAGGTTCTGGTTGTGGTGGATGGTGGCAGCCGTGGTGTTGGCGGTGCTGCTGCCAGGGGTGATGATGACAGCTGGCGAGACGATGCTGGAGGAGGGGGAGGTGCTGGACTCTGTGATGTTAGCCTGCTGCTGGTGGCTGTTGTTGGTGTTGGTGTTGGTGTCGGTAGGGCTGCTGGTGTTGTTGTTGAGGGTGGTGTTGCTGGCGGTGCGGTTGAGGTTGCTGACCCCGCTGGACGGCCACCCCTCATCTGGGCTGCTGGCCATTAGGCTGGCTTCGGACGGAGCTTCGGAGCAGATGGACATGCGGGCCACGGTGGCGTCCTGTAGGCCGCTCAGGCTGCTGGGGAGGAGGCCCCTCTTCTTCACCAAGCCCTCCAGCTCCAGTTCAATCAGACTGGGCTTCAGGGCTTCTCTCTCTCTGTCGGTGTCTCCTTCGGCCTCCTCCAGGGAGCGGTCTGAGGAGCTGTCACTGGAGCGCATCCCTGAATCGGACGAGTCCTTCTTATCCAAGAGGATTTCGTTGAGGAAGCCAGGCTTGGTCAAAAGCCCAGTGGGCTGGGAGCCTCTGTGGGGAGACAGAGCATCAGCTCTTGCCTCTTTGTGGAGGAGAGGTGTGGTGTTGTCAGCTTCTTCGGGGCCTGAGTCTTCGTCGTTGGGCAGCTTGTGGTAGTATGATCCGGCGCCCTTCTTCCTGCAGCCTGAGGTCCTGGAGGATGAGCTGTGGTCCAGCTTCTCATCCTCTTCACTGATGGGGTCTAGGGGCTGAGCATCGGTCCCTGAGGCAAAATCTGTGGCATCGCTACTCTTGGAGCCTCTCTTGGTGAAGGACTTGCGGCTGTCTTGGTCAGCTCCTTCCTTGGCCTGAGGAGAGGGAAGAGGATTCAGAGAGGAGAACATGAAAATATGCAGTATCCTGTGCTGTTGGCCTCTGAGAGGCCTCTCAAGAGGGGATTCCTCTTGCTACCTTTAGTGCCAAGAGAAACAAAGAGTAAAGCCAATAATTAAGAAACGCAAGAAGCAGCGATCTCCACTTTCCCAGCTCAGACTGAGACTCTTGCCGTTACACAGGCCACAGAAACATAACTTTTAAAAACACAAGTTGTAGAACATACAGACTGACCTCAGAACCATGTCTACACAAGTTAATGACAACAGCTAATGGTATCTGTTCCTGTAATCTGACAGCGACGGTTCATCCTGAACTATTTCTGTCATCAGTGATGCGACGATAAAACCGTGACAGCGTACTTGTGACTGTCCACCCACCCCTTTGTCCTCTGAGCTGGCAGCCTGAAGGAACTGTCCGGGGTGGGGCTGGACGGGCCGCTCTCCCCCACTGCCGGACATCTCCAGCTGGGCCATCTGAGCGATGTACTCCCTGTAGGCATCACGATACTCAGCCTGCTGCTTGTCTGTCAGCTTGCAGATGTCATTAGAGGATTCCTGGGAGTTTAGGCTGGACATGCTTGAAGTGCGGTGATTTGCCACCTGACAAGATGAGAGAAAAGTTGGGATGGTGTGCAAAGATCTTGCTGTGTTTGCTGAGAAATATGTTTGTCACAGTTTTCATCGTGTTGTGGTGGTTTGGGACGTTAACCCAGAGAGCGAGACAGCTAAATATAAAGATACAAGTCACGTTGACTAAAATATCGTGCCATAATTAGATCCGCATCTGAAGAATGATTCAGAATATGACAACTGGATAAGGTGAAGAAGTTACTGACAAAGAGTGCAGATGGAGCGGCAGCGCTGTGTTTTCAGCGTTGGGTTTAAATTTGAAACAAATCACAAAGTGAGATCATATAAAGCAGCAGCACAGCCAGCTGTCTATGTGCGAGTGTTTGCTCGTGTCTCGGAGATTTTGCAAACTGGGAACACGGAAGGTAAAAATGGCGAACTGGGGGCCCTCTGACACCTTTTGGTGAGCGGCAGTGTTAGTGTGTATTTTTAATTCTGCCAAATTCAAGAGCACCGTGAGCTTCCTCTGCCGTGCTCTTTTCTTACTCGAAACCACATTAACGTGAAACCACCGAGGTCCTTATAGCACACTGTTCTGGTGCACGTGGACACATCGCCATCCGACAGTTTGGGGTGTGACCTTTCCACGCGTGTGCCATTTGCAAGTGTTGCACGCTCACACTTAAGCTTCAAGAAGCGACGTAAACGCTTGTTGTCTCTGTTGCACATCTATACGTGTGAATATAAAGCGACTGTTTGTCTGGTTACAACTTCCGCTGTGATATATTTGAACCAAACTCCCGACGCAGACTGACCGGCCAGTGTGAGTGTGAGTTGCTGTTGCGTCTCGGAGGCTCCTCCAGCCCCACTCCGCTGAGCTCCTCGAAGCTGAGGTTGAGGCTGAAGGTCGCCGCTTCGTGCTGGGCTCCTCCTGAGCGTCTGCTGGGCTCCCCGTGGTGCACGCTGCTGCCCTGCTCGCTAGCAGCGCGGGATTCATCCTGGAGCACCGCCTGGCTTTCGGCATGCCGCTGCTCAATCACCTTATGAAATACATTTAATATTTTAGATAAACCAGTGACTTTACTTCAGGACATTGTTAAGTTAACTGTAAACAATTTGATCAAAGCACGTGACACACTAAACAAGTATGTTAAACAGCAACAACAACTAAAGTGTGGGCTTGTGAAAGGAGAATCTGGAGCTGGTTGTTGAGTAAAGCCATTCAGCTGTGCCATCCTCCCCGACAATAACCTCCCTTCATCCAGATATCAGTCGGCCATCTTGAACCAGATGGATGTGCTGGCTGCATCCTGGCAACACAACACTGGTTTTTACATGGAGCCATAAGGCCACTGCACTTTCCAGCTGCTTCTATGCGAGCTCTGCATCGGATCTCCGGTAAAACACGACCAATCGGGGGCTCTGCTTTGGCATTAGGAGCACAGACTGACATTTGATGAAGTGGAGCTGGCTACATGTGTAAGTGATTTCAGCCCCGGCTCAGCTGACTGGACTCCTGGCTGACTGACTAGCGCCCTTCTCGTAATACGGATAATAAAATCTCTATCCCAATATCTCAGTGCAGCACAAGATGTCTTATTATGAGATACTGTCTTGCTTGGTTGTGGAATAAACCAGAGCTGACATATATCAACAGAAGGGCACTGGCAGAGCTAAGTGTCTGCAAAGGATCACACAGCGAGGAGAATGTACGCCACTGAGAACAAACCGTATTTCAGGTCTTTACTCCAGAGCAGTGAAGGGGTGGTTGATATTTGTGCTCGCTGGAGTGATGACACTTTCTTTATCGGTTTAAAGACGGCCCATTTCTTTTAACAAAAAGCAACAACAGCAATCTTCAATCTCAGCCCAGTTCTAAAATTATATATTACACAGAGTCTCACCATCCCCCTGAAGAGCTGCCAGTCGCCAAAGTTCATCTCCATCTCTTTCTTCAGCTCGTCCAGGTTGCAGTGAGTAAGCACCCGGCCATTTATATTAGCCTGCAGTTGACAGAAAAGGGTTTGTTCACAGGTTAATTATGAATGTACCAAACAAGTGGAGAGACAGAGCAGAGGGAACAAGAAAGCCACACAAAGACAATTAAACCATCTTTAAAATTCAAACCTTCTTGATGGTGGAGTTGTACTGAGACAGCATGTTGGGGTCGAGTCCATCAATCTGTCTGAGACGCTCGCACACCGCATCCGTGTTCAGGGAGCTGAGCAGGACTGCGGGACAGATCTACGCAACATCACACATAAATGTACAGTTAGAAACGGCACATTCGGACAGTTTTCATGAATTAAGGCTACCGGGGGAAACTCACACACACACACTCGGTCAGAGCAACTCATCACTCCTAACACATTGATTAGGGCAAATCGAGCAACAATTCCTGGCAAGGAGACGTGCGGGCCTGTTACTGCGAGGCACACGGAGGCGCAAAACCACAATCCCACACAGTAATTCTCTCTATCAGTCACACAGTGTAAGTGTAAAAGTAAACAAGGCTGCCAACCTATCCAAATACACCGTTACCTGCTCTTATTCTTTTCCCTCTGTGTATATATAAGCGTATGAAGTGTGTGCACAACACTTAAGGGATGGAGTCTGAGAGCCGCCGCCGCCGAGCCGCACTGGAGCGGCCGCCGCGGTCGAGCAGCTCCGGGCCTCGATGTGACTAATACCAGCCGCCTGCTGACGCTGTCCAAGGCCTCACAGAGAGCCAACATGCCACACGCTGGCACCAGAACCAAACAAACCTCACCCGCCCTCCTTTATCCCACTCACCCCTCTCCCCCCCCCGGCTCTTGCTCGTCTTTGTGACAAGCAAAAGTTCTCGTTCCTTCCTTCTCTCCCTCCCTCCCTCCCTTCCTTCCTTCCTTCCTTCCTTCCTCTCGCATTCCTTCCCACTCAGCCTCCTGCGTCGACCTCCTACTTTCTTTTCCATCCCTTTCTTTCTCTCTCTCCCCCCATCTTCTGCTCCACCCGGCTATTAGCACCATTAAGACGCGGCTTCAGACTAAGCCCCCCGGCTTTGTTTCTGGTTTCGAGGGAGAGAAGAGCAGAGCTTAGCCGGACTGTGAGTGGTTGTTAGACAAAAAAAACAATCAGCTCTTACAATACAGTACACAACAGTAGGTGCCAACTTTCTGTAATGGAGGAGATGAAGACCAGCACTCGGGGAGTTTAACTACTGTTCACATCCACACGGTCGAGGTGTTACCAAAGAATGAGTCTATGTTAGTGAATCTAACAGCTACCACAAGTCGTTTTGCATTGACTTCAATGTAATGTGTCTGAATAGTAACTTCCTTCTACGGCATGCTGGGTAGTAATGAACCGATGCGTTAGAGGTGAGGGAGGGAGAGGTGAATGGAGAAAGTGCGGCGATGAAGGTAGCCATGAATTCAAACGAGTACCTGCTTTAATTTGTAAGGCATCGACTTTAAATGCTTGATAAGGAGACAAAAAAAAGCAGACGGACAAGTAGTCAGACAAAAATACGGACAGACATTTATAACACTACGAATCCAGGACTGTACCTGTGAAAAAAAACACACACACAAGGTGGGGAGGCAGAAATTTACAAGACAGACTGACAAGCGGAGAGACAGTAGCACACATGTTGAACTCATCATCAGGGGACAGGAGAGACACTGACAACAGCTCAGACATTTATCTGTCTCACAGCAGGGGAGGAGACGGCTCCTTAACAGCGGCAACGCAGCCAGCCAGCCAGCGCCTGGAAAAAGAAGAGGCTATTGGAAGTCGAATTATTAGACAAGGAGATTTTGTTTTCACTGGAGTCAGCTGGCTTTCTGCTGCCATAATCTTCGCAGACAGAACGGATTGCGGAGGACACGGAGACAGAGAGAAAGACCCGCCGAGAGAATGAGTCGTCTCTCTCGCTCTGAAAAAAGCAGAAGTTTCAATTCGGGAAAGGCCTTGAATGCGGCTCCTTGATTCAGACGGCAAGCGCGTCTTCTAAGAAAGTGAGTGAGGGCATGAATGTCTGCGGGTGTGTCTGCTTGTGTGCCTGTGTGTTTGTGTGAACCCTCCCAGTGTGTGTGTGATAAGACTGTAATTACAGCTGGGCTGAGCTCAGGGCAGAAGGATGGGGAAGAGGAAACAGAGCTCTGTGAGGGAGGAAGCGTCTTGGTAAGGAGATAAGCTCTACCAGCGCTGGGCTCATTGTCAGTGCATGTGTGTGTGTGTTGCCAGCCCCAACAGTTGCTCTGATGATAATCCCAGCAGCCAGAGGAATCCATACTCGCACTTACATCAGCTAGGCAATTACACTGGGCTAGGCCTGCTTACATATCCAAAGAGCCGCACACATACACATTTGCAGATTTGTGGAAATGCGTTCACACGCGAGGACTATACGGAGAGATTAAGTAGGAAATTAAAAGAGGATGAAAATACGAACATTTACACTGACTGGGAAAGAGAAGGAGGATGATAGGAGGAACAAAATAGGTATAAAAATTCAAGACAGTGATGAAGGTATAAAGGACGGGATTTAAAAAAAAAAATATTAAAGACACAAAAATACTGACAGATCAGAGATTGAGCGAAGGAACATTACACGGTAATCTATATTTAAATCTTTCATACGGCTCCTCTAAATGCTTGCTGGCAGTGCCCTGATAAGTGGCTTTGTGGAGCAGAAATCTCCTGAGAAGTGTTATCATTAAATTGTTCTAATAGTGGCTGCTTTCTCCCGGAACGTGTGGATATCTGGATGTAGAGGTTCACTTCTTTCTCAGTGCAACTTCATACATTCTTCAACAGCACTTCTACATCCATTTATTGTAGGAGAAAACCACAGCATCACACGCGCCGTGCACTGCATGAACTCAGCTGAAAGTCAGCAGCTGTTGATTGAACACGTGTCAGACATGTGTGGGAATCTTTTTGAAGTTATATTCATTTAAGAGAATATGAACTTGCGCCGTACCCACAACAGAGTGAACCTCATTCAACATGTTAGAAATACATGTACTATAGTCTGCAAAAACCACACGGTGCTTTCAATGATTAGTGGGAGGTCACAGTCACACCGGATGCAGCTAAAGTATTTAAGCATTCTGCTGCAGAAGGTGCAGAAGTAATAGCTGACATCTATTCTCTTGGTTTTTTTGTAAACCACAACAACAAAAAAAGCAGCCTGTCAAACACACAGACATGCCTTTTATGGATGCAACACAACAGATTACACATAAGGTATCAGGCCAACAGGCAGATGAGGGACGAGCTTCATATCTGCATTAATGTTGTGCTCCACATGTGCCAATACGTCTACTGATGTTAGTCAGGTTACCATGGTGGGGTCAGAGGGACACGAGGGGAGGCCTTCTCTGGCATCCTCTGCAATAACATCCTAATATGGGTGCAGAGCAGAGACAGAGGAAGGTTAAACGAGGTTGGTTCCAATTTATGGAATAACCTTTCACTCCACTAGGGTCAGGAGCTGGACTGTGGTTGAGCACGGGATTGGTGGGAAATGAGCGATATTTAAATCATCGGGGGTTAAAGTTAAAACATACGCCATCAGATTAAAGAGAGGGAGACAGAAGGATGTAGGAAAGTAGGTAAGAGCAGAGGAAGCGTTAAAAAAAAGAAAAGGAGGTCAGAGTTTGTGGTTTTTTAATGCAGCAGATTGACACAATGGACTCGACAGCACGCGAACCATCGAGTGGTATAAATAACTATATGCATCCTGAGCCCGAGACCTTATAAGTTTAATTATATTAGTCTATAGATAGGACCTCCTTTACAGCTTAAAGTGTTTTAGACGAAAGACAAACCAATGACCACTGCTTACAAACTTCCAATCAGCGCACAATGTCGTTGCATAATCTGAATAAAACTAGCATGTCTGCTGTGAGATGAAAGCAAATGTAATGGACCTCTTCTTTACTTACAAGTCCATTGGCGTCCTGGGGTTGACCGGGTGGTTTAATGGGAGGGCGCGAGGATGAGGGGACATGGTGGGGGTAATGCCGTGGCAGGTGATACACATGATGGGGGAAATAAGGCTACAGAGAACGTGGGGAGAGGAGAGAAGGGGAGGTAGAACAAAATAAAAATCATAAAATCATATGAGGGAGCTCATGCACACAACAACACAAAGTATCACGGGGGAAAAATGTCATCGCTTTACTGCACATTTCACACAGTGGGTCAATGCAAATGTTCGATAACGTGCAGAGAACTGAGCAGCAAAAACAGAAAGACCCTTTTTGGTTGTTGGTACTGGTAATACAGTGCCTGCAAATTCCAGCTTCATTTCATGTAGTGCAGATACCGACCACAATTATTTGGGATGACATTTTCAGCTGAGGAGCAGGAAGACGACGGGTTATCTGAACATGAGTCCCTGTTGTGTCTCACCCGGTTGTAGAAGGGGTGCTGAGGGCCGGTCATTCCACTGAAGTAGGCACTGTGGGGCTGAGGAGGCAGGGATCCGGCAAAGGAGCCTGTCGGGGAGCAGGCGGCTGAGTGCTGGCCGTAACCTGACTGGGGACGGGGCACTGCCTCTTGCAGGGGCAGCGTGGGATAGGTCACCCCTCCTATGTGCATCTGCTCCCTGGCCGCACGGACATCTAAGAGAGGGCAGAGCCGAGGGAAAAACGAACAACGGAAGAAGAGAGAAGGAAGTGTTTATCTGAGATGCTGACGATCTTGTGTTGGCGATGACTATAAAGACCCTTCAGATCCACCCACGCATCAATAATTTAGCTTTATTTCATCATCTCCAGGGAGTTTAGACAGTTGTGAATCCAAAGGAAGAAAAAAAAAAAACCATATCAAACAGCTGACGAACGCAAGAGCAAAATTTCTTGACTCTCAAAACACTGCAGGGAATACAAGAAGAACATTGTTTCCGAGCATGTTCTCCTTATCCAAAATAGACGACAATCAAACAACTAAACACTGAGAAAATGGGCGCAGATGTTACGAATACAACGACCTTCAACTGTGAATTCCATTCTCACTGCGATTTCTATTACTCTGTTTACTCACAAACAGCAGGCGTGCTGATATTCTCTGTTTTCCAAATTATATGCCAGCCACGTGACGATTCTGGCACATGGAGCCCCTTGCTGTCCCTGACAAATAAATTCACCCATGTAAACAAACAAAGCAGACCATGTGAACTCGTAGACATTATCTCATAAGCACTTTGCCACAATTGTTTTCACATAAATCTATTTGACTTCGAGAGGAGTCGAGTAGGAGCTAAGTAAGGAGCTTTGGTAAAACCTCCCAAATTAAAGTTAAATAAGCCCGAAGACAGAACAGAGTGGCTCTGTGTGGCTGGCAAGAAAGTAAGAACCAGAAACAGAAGCAGGCACCAGAATGTCTCCTGGTTATACAAGTGGCTGCTGAATGACACGCTGAGTGAGACCCAATCCAGCCTGTGAACACAATGGGGGCCTTATGATGTGAGTCAGGCTCATGGGCGGGTATCACTGACAGCACTGCCCACTGGCTGGCCACAGGACACTGGGCACCAAGTACCAACTGGTCACAGAGGGAGTGGAGGGAGCGGGATGACTGGGTAGGAGCGTTGGTCACCTTCCGCTCCCCGTGGACACGTGTGGAGGTGAAAACGCCCACACGCTTTTGAGCGCACGCACACACACAAATAAACACATGCTTAACGGACACGTACAGAACGGACACCTACACACTTTTAGGGAAGGAGTCCTGTGCTTAGAGACTGGACGTCTGGTTGTGGAACTTGGTCAGCTGTGGCCTCCGTGACTCAAGGCTGGCTCAATGGAACAGACTTTCTGTGTGTGCGAGTGTGTGTTTTCTGTGGTCTCATAACAGTATGATGCAGCAGCTTCACACTAGGCGTCATTGACACTCCTGTATGGGCTGAATGGACGCTGACGCACGGTAGCAAAAGTACAGCGCCGCTCTGGCTTACAGTTATACTAATGCACTGTTACGTCACCGTAGCTACAAACTGTGAAATTTGGTGCCGCGCTACAGGCAGACTGGTGACAGCGAGCGAAAATATTGTCCCGATTTCACAGTGCTGTAGTGAAAACCTGCTCGACATTTGATTGTTTGGAAATGAGAAGCATGCTGTGGGTTATTGAGAGCCCCGGCAGTGGGCGATTTCAGAGCAAACCCTGCTGCAATGCTATGAGTAATGTCACTGCCAAATGAGCTGGCAGCGAATTCAACAAATCAACTAGAGAACAGTTCTCCATTTCTCCGTGCTATTGTGCAGTGTTGTTGATTTAGTTTATGTTTGGTCACGTGATAACAACCGAACCACACACGTGTCAGCTGAGGATGGTTTTTTTTTGCTGAAGAGGTGGTTGAAAACTTCAGGGGTAACAACACAGTTGGACCGATTATGGTGAAGAATAAACTTTTTTTGCTCCACATTCACAGTTCCCAGATCTCCACTACATAAAACACATTTCGACACGGCAGAAGGAACTCTCCAACACCAGCCTAAAACACCAAATGAGGGAATATCTATTTGGGAGAATGCTAATCCCTGCAGCGGAGCCCAGACACTTGCAGAATTCATGCCAAGTTTATGCTGATTTTGCTATACTGATGGCGTATGGACCTGCTATGATCTCCCTGAGTTTGGGGTCCAGGTTGACGGTGCAGGGCAGGAACATCTCCACATCTCTGGCGGTGAGAACAGGCGTCCGGGAGGAAAGGAACACCTCGAAGCTGCGGATGTCTCCATCGATCTCCAGCAGAGGCTCCACGTCCTTGGTGGTGGGGATGCTCTTGGAGATTCTACGGAGGAGAAAGAGACAAGAACGTACTTATTTAAAGTGATCTATTAAAACACTGATCAAGTCTATTAATCATAAATATTTATTGTAAAGATTTGGAGGCCAAAAATATTTTTGCATCACTGTCAAATTCAGTAGAAAATCTACAGAGAAACGACGTTTTGCTGTGGAAGAGCAGAGACGAGACACCGCACTGCGATGCCTTACTGACGTGTCGACATGTCGCTTTCCACTAAATTGTGACTTGTGCATTCATAGCGGAAAAACACAAGGTTTTACATTCGGATAAAAAAAAAAAAGAAAAAAGAAAAGAGGAAATAGCAAGCTGCACTGTTAAGATTGAAGAGCTATGCCAACGGTCATCATCATCATGAGAGCAGAGAGATAACTGGATTTAGAGAAGGCAAGATAGTCAAAGGGGGGATGTTCGAGGACAGATAGAGTGAGGGATGTTATCTTTTCTCAGCAGAGGAGGAAACCTGAGAAGATGACAATCAGGGTAATTTAGCAAGCAGCAGACGGAAGCGCGTCATGATGCGCTGCGACTGTTAGCATGATGTTTGTTATCGCAGGCCCTAAGTAAACACCGCGTTTGGAGATTGCTCCATTACTGTGTGATGTTGTTTTTCCTGTTTATACTGCGGAGGAAAAAAAAATCCCCGCTATGTATTATATTAATACCATGAGATTAAAACAATTTGTAGACACTGAGTTTAATGTATGGGAAATTATATTTAACCACCCATCGCTCCGAAACTGCACAGACTCTGGAACCGTACGGCACAAACTGAAGCCTAAACCAGTATTTCAGAGGTAGCAACAGCACGTCTGAAATGATGAATACGGAGCATGAATGCTGAAATGCTTTGAGGAGGAAAATCTAATTTCGGCTACACAAGGTTAAAAAAGGTTATCGGTTTAATCAAAGACAGGGTAAAGTGGGGCAAAGGCTACAAGGGATGCAAACACCAACAACCCAGAGCAATCAGTGCATCTCGCTGATCCTATCATTCAGACATGAAAATGTGAAACTTGGAGTGACTTATGACACTGGCCATTCATCACCAGAGTGTGCCGCTCTTATCAGATGAATGAGGAGACTCCAGTGGGGAGCAGACATTTTTCTCATCTCTGCCTCCATTTGTCATTCGAACCCTTCATCATTTTCTCAGTAGATGCTTTTCTCTCTCTGCATCCTGCTTAACCTTCCCTCCTTCTAATTCAACCCCAGCTCACCCTCCTCCCCGCGCATCACCCAGCCCGTGTACTGGTGTGCTCTGTCGTGCCTCAGACCGAAAAAGTTGGGTTTTTCCCCAACGCTGATCTGTTTTCGTGAGCGAACAGAAGCGAGTCTTTCTAAGACTTGATTGGATGATTAGTGCCACTGCTGCAGCACGCTAGCAAAGTCAAGATGAGGTCGGCATCTGGAGTTAGCTCAACAAAGCACACTGTTAGCTAATAATGCAAACTATCAACTAACCTAATGCGGTTAAGATACAGGCAGAAAAGTCCCCTGTCAGCCCAATCCAATGAGGGTCTCATATCTTAGTGATGTATGGTCAAAAACAAGGCCTTTAAAGGTGCAGAGCACTAAGTTATGAGTTGCATAATTTCCATTTTTGGCTTTAAGCTGACACTCCTGTCCAGACTTCTTACAGTGAGTGAACAGGTAGGGGTCCAGTCTTCTGTTCAAGGACATTTTGACAGGACAGATGGCTGGTGATGGACGCATCTGCTGCTGCAGAGCTCGAACCTGTGACCTTGTGGTTACAGGATGTCTCCTACCAAATGTACAAGTCTGGCAAGAAATGCTGAAATCGTGGTGTCCTACGGAGACATTCTGACATGCTTAGAAGTAATAGATTTAAAGGTATCACCACTTTACCAAGGAATTATATACTGGAAAGCTGCAGCTCTTTTTTTGCCCAGCTGCTAAACGCCCCCAGATTACCTGCAGAGCTTTAGGTGGAGCTATAAAATAAAAATCTGAACTGAAGGTTTGCCTCTCTGCTCAACTCTCATTTATCTTCCCAGTTCTTCTTTACGATCCCTCTCTCAGAGCGGCCCAGGTGGGTCACACCAACCCGCTGTCCCCATCCAACTGCCAGCACAGACTCACACAGGCTGAAAGAAGATAGAATAGGCTGTGAGCGGGGAGGACAGAGAGGCACAGCTGGCTCCAGTGGACAAAGCCCTCTCAGTGTTTCTTCCATTAGAACCTTTAACATGACCCAGAAGGTCGAGGAAGCTCCATGTTGGCACACAGATGAACCCCGCTCATGTGACCTCTGTTGCAGAGGATGAGTGGGATTCTAAAGGCACAGATGTTACCTGCGCACACACACACACACACACACA